TCGAGCCGATCAGACAAGAACTCGCTTACTTATTTTCGTTCGCAATTGTGGGCCGAAATGGTCAAGCAGTCAACATAGTGTTGGCAACGAACTGTCGGGAGTTCGTTGCCAACACTATGTTGACTGCTTGACAACACCCCTGGATCGCTATTGCTCCGTTCCAAATCTTCACGGCAGACCACCCTTCCACAAATGTCTGATGCCATATCTATTTGCTTTTTATCTGTCAGTGTACGCCGACGATATCCGGTTTTGTCACGCCATAGGTTGCACGACCCTGTTAGTTCGCCCTGAATGCTTGAACGAACTGTGGGCAGCCAGAATAGTACCTTACTTCGGTTACACCAACGCATAGCAGGTTTCTGCACGGATCAAGTCCTAAGGTTAGGGTTATCGATCCAAAGTACCACATTGATCCCAATGCACCTAACTAAGTACAGTCGCGTTGAGAAAGTGGGTGGCCATGAAATGTGGGATCAGCATTCGGATTGGCCACTCACTTTCTTAACGCGACTGTACACTAGAATCGCTTTAAAGCTATTTAAGTGTCCATTAGAAGAATTCGTCCATCTCCACAGCGAGATGTACTATAACTAGGTCCATCCATCTCAGCCACGAAAACTCAACTGAGATGATTAATATTTTGGTTACATTTACTAGTTGTTCACATACCACCCCTCTACCGCACCACCACCACCACAATGCAAATAAACCGACAGAATGATGGCTCTACTACTACCCACCGCCTCCACAAACAGGCGTAGGTTGGCCGTTGAAACATATCTGATTGCAACACAAATCCGGACGGCTGAGATCGCACGGCCCTCCATCAGGAGTACAGACGTTAACTAGCGCGGGCGCAGGTTGGGATGCCGGCCCGGGGCAAGGCCCAAGACCGAGTACCTCGCAGGCGGGGGCCAAAACTATCTTTGTTAGCAATATACCGAGAATATAGTTGAGGAACGTTAAACCTACTGTCATCAGGACAGCATGTCAGGAGTTCGGGGTTGTGTTCAGGTTGGATGTGCTCAGGTGGGTATTCCGGCTTCTGGTGCGGAGTGGCTACCGCACAGGCGGTGAGGATGAAGAGAAAGGAAGTGACGAGTAGGCGCAAGTGATGCATAGTGGAGGTTAGAGTCGAATTGCGATCCGAATTGCGAATTGCTCTCGATAGCTGGGGCGGGGATGGGTATTTATAAGGAAAGGGATGGAATTTTCTTTTATCGGCAGAGGGGATTACTTGGTTCGGAGTGAAGTACACAAACAGCTGTGTCCGAGACAAGCTTTCGGTATTCCAGGGATTTAAGGAATAGTATCGCTTATAACTAGCGTCTCCGAGACACAGCCTCACGGTAAAGTGTTGAGGAAAGCACGGTTCAAAACTCCCACGTGATTGATGAGAACATTACGGAGCCATGATCGATGTTACGGTGGATACACGCTCCTATATTTTGTACAAAACTACTACTACTGCGCATGTGGGATCAGTTGCATCAAGAGATACGCGTTTATTGTAGTAAGGGTAAATAGCGCCAACATCTCGGTAGCGCCCATCGCGGACAAGCTACCCCCTTTTGGGTAACAGACTTCCAAGGTCCTGGATTTCACGTCAGTTAATAGATTAGTGAGTGAGATGACATCCGATTTAGGGTACATACCGAGACAACAAATCATGCTTGCCCCTTTCCCCACATTTTCCACCACATGGGCGTCTGCATCCCTGCCGCAAATCTTCCGATGTACCGTATTATTTGGGTGTACTCGCGATTTTTGTAGTACATGCAGGATGCAATCAGGCCGCTTCTATTCGCCCAACTGACAAGCCGTCTTTCAGTTCAAGACATTTAGGGCCTCCATAGCGAATAGAAACTGCTATTGACTGTCGGGTATGCGAGCTGCACGTACTACAAAAATCGCGAGTACACCCAAATAATACGGTATTACATCCGTTATCGTCGCACTATGACCTTTGTGTTACTATCTCACTTCGAGGATCAATGGTACTAGACACGCCCAGCCGATTGTCCACTAGATATAAAGCATCTTCGATTGGCGCATCGCTGTCCATCCATCATCTAGGCGAATAGGAATCAAAATTGCAAGGGCTATCCAGTTACTGGATAATCTAAGATTTCTCGACTAATAGTGTGGTTGGCTGTTCAATGCACAATTTGTCTAGTGCTCGGTAATTACGCGATCAAATACCTGTCAGGAGATGTGGCCAACGGTTGACTATTGGTGACATTCATTTAGGTAAAGGGTGGTGTGGGAAGTCTCTTGTCGTTCTGGGGTTTAGCCTGTTTATGATTTAGTAGATCATGACGTTGGAAGTCCTACCGGGAAAACCCTACCCAGACTAAACCTTATCCAAACCTCACTTCCTACTACGACCGCCTAGGGGTCCTTACACTTTAGGAGAATAGGGTAAAAGGGCCTTCAAAGTAGACATAGTTGAACGAGTGACACTAAATGCGAGGAAGATTTACCTCAATAGTAAGAGGACGTGAATTCTGGAGATATAGCATAAACAACGAAATAATTGATATATGGAATGATGTTTGTACCGTGATGTTTCAAGGCGCACGATCCCAAATATTTTTTTGAAGCTGTAGGTGTGAACAATGTATGCACGATGATTATGTAAGCGGAAAGAGCTGCATAGACGGCTAAGTGGAAAGATAAGATATGCGTAGACGGCAATACGGTACCCACGTTTTTTCATAAGGCTGTGCATATGCTACACTTGTCTGGGCGCCATGTGTCGCCCTCGTGGTTCGTCACACAATGAATAGTTACCGAAAATATGAAATGAAAAACAGGGGTTCAAACACGAAACTTGACATCGATTGGGACCTCTGCGGTCAAATTTAAATACTATTTGTCATTTTGGCAGATTTTGTTTCTTTGGGTAGTGTATGGCTGTGTAGCCAATAGGATACCCATTATGGCTCCACTGGAATTTACCTATCCCATTCCACAACGTTTATAAAACTGGGGATTGTTGAACAAGCTCAAACAATAATTTTTTTGCTGGTTGCCCTGCACAAGTGTGGTCAAGTTCGAAAGTTGGAACAAATACAATAGGTATCGTAATATTTTAAAGAAGGATTGTACGAGGAAATACAATATCAAATGCAATATCAACAACGAAGATGATGAGAGTGCAAGGTATTCAACCCTATATTACACTATGTGTAGAGTTGTGGTCGTTGGGAATAAGGTGTGGTCAGTGCACTAAGGGTTAACCCGGCAACGCTAATCTACGTTATAGTCTGTATATGTACCAATTCCTTCAACATCGACTCGTACCACGAGCAATACAAATCTCGATCCGTTTCCCTCGCTTCTGAACTCTCTTCTCAGCTATTTCATCATATCCGCAATACCCTCACACAATCTCCATGGATGTACAACCACTCACGATACCTCAAACCCGGTACCCACAGATGCTCAGCCGATATGTGCTAAAACGTCAGCTCACTGTTTCTTTGACAAGGGGCGAGACAACCATGTACCTTGTACCTTCCTACGACCGTCCCGTTGGCAATGGGACCATCGTGGACGCAGGTGGTGGCGCCGGCGGTGGATAGGGCGGCCGCGGACACCCAGGGATATTCTGCGGTGTTGCGGCTTGGTGTACTTCTGATGTTGCGAAAGGTTGGTCTGGCGGGGGTGAGGTGTCCCGACAGCGACATTGCAGACCGGGTTGGTGGACGAGAGCAGGAGCTGCCCCATTGTAGTGAACTACATGGACTACCGAGGCGGCCGAAACGGTGGCTACAGGATCGGGGGGTGAACGAACGTCCAGTGGAATATCGTTCGACCGACTGGGCCGAGCCGGGACGTGGTTCTTCAAAACCCGTCAGCATTCAGTAATATTTGATCATATTGTAGATAGTGGGACTATACACGCCGACTCCCTCTCCAACGCTTCCACCCAAAGACTCCGATTGCGGCTATCAATACTCCGATAGTAGCAATGATTAGTCCGCAAACACCAATAATCTCATTCGTGCCTCTTTTCCGCAGCTGAGAAAGGACGATGCTTTCCGGTGGCGCCTCTACACAATGGGCCAGACAGGCGAGCAGGAAGGCTGTGATGGTGTAGTCTATATCCCCAAAGTAAGGTGTGAGTTGTGGTCGTAGTGTCAATCGGGATAGGGATGGATAGATGTACCCATGAAATGGAGCCAGTCGATTGGGTTTTGAAAGTAATGGAATAGGGGGGATGTGGTCAGCTCCCGATGGATAATATATGTTTCGATTGACCAAGCTGTGGGGGATGGTGAAAGAGCAGGAGATGAAGGTCTAATGTCTATGTGGCAGTGGTAGGTAATTGAAGGCGAGAACAGTAGTTGAACGCAAAAGGATGGAAACCAAGGTTAGGGTTGGGGACGTTGGTTTGTGCGAATGGCACACATGATTCTCGCAGACTATAAGTGGGCTTTGACGCCTACTTAAGTTACTATTGCCTCCCCACACCTTCGCCTTGAAAGCAGCTTCTTTCTTTAAGGACTACTGTATACGCGCATATGCAAAATGATCTGCAAGCAGTTCCTAGCGCAAAGCCTGGAGGAGTTAGTTACAAAGCGACATACCTGGTTCACACATCCTTGTAACACCCGTACCCTTCACCTCATTATCTTTTCGGTGACTCTGCCATAGGAGATATTTCAAAAGTTTGCTATACTTTTCCCCTACCCAGTGCCCTGCAATTTGATTTTTCCGCGCTTTTACAACCACAGCCTTCAGCTGAAATTTTAATCCACACACCAGTGACACCGAGGCGCTGTCGATATTTTCAAATGCACACCCACCTCGGATGCCTATACCAATTGCAAATAGCCTGCATTTCGGCAACACGTACTTTGTGTTCACACGCAGCTCAAAAAAACCTCGCTCCTTTGCAGTTCTGATTGGCGTGTGGGTCGTCATCAAGCCAAGCCAGACATGTGGTGTGCGTCAACCCATGTATCTATTCTGTACAATACCAAATATAGTCCTCAGTAGTATAGTGGTTAGTATTTCCGCCTGTCAAACTGATAGCACCGCGGGAGACCAGGGTTCAATTCCCTGCTGGGGAGTATTTTTTTCCCACCACACGACATTGTATTCTGTCGCGCTTCTTTGTAGCCGCCAGGGCACTCATGCCTTGAAAGAGATAAGTGAACACGCGTGTGGGGACCACACGGTAGCCTGCAAAATAGGTTTCCATACTTTGGTTTTTGTCTGTCAAAGTTGGGCCGAACTCGTTAGGGCGCGTGTGGCAGTGCTACATTCGCTGGATGCTCGCAAGCTCGCTACCCCCGACCGGGTAAATTGTCTTGCAATTCACTCGTAGGGATTTTGCGTCATCGAGTTAACAAGATGAAGATCAGATTGATGAGATCTAGATTAGATTAGATTGGATAGCGGTTAGATCCACTTTTGGTGTGGTTCCAAGATTTTGGCGCGAAATCGAGACTCGAGTCTTATTCTCTTTCATCACATTTATTACTGCAGGTGAGTTAAATCGTAACATCTTACAAAAATGTGACGGAATAAATTTCCTTAAACAGAGATGGCCCTAACTGTCTGGTCCTGAGCCAACTTTTCAATTCAGGTGTTCTCCTGTCTTATTTGGCTCCGGGAATGGGTTGAAGTGCTCTCTGCAAGATTCTAATAACACTGTTTTAACCCCATATCCATGCACTAACTCTCGCGGTTTTATACCATGGTGGGATATTTTGCACATCGCCCTTGGCCCTGACGAAGGAGCGCTCGTCAGTTACACGACGTCGCCACCCCCGGACTAGTGACACTCATTGAAATAACCGATGCATTACGGTAGAGCATACGTAAATCTACAATTCTATGGATAATTAAATTCAATTAGTTCTTACCCTCCGTCGTTCATCACCTCGCCGTTCTTCATCAGAGTCTGGCAGAGTGTGAGAAGTCAAGGACAGATAAGATATCAAACAAAGAACAATACATAACTAATCATCCTAACCTAACGCCATTTTCTCCCATTCAATCTCCGCTCATTCAGTGCGATCGACCGCCGGTCGGGTCACAGGCCAAGTTGAAGTTCGCCGCGGGGGTGTATATTGTTGATCATTGCTTGCTGTTGTGGGGAATGAATTCGATTGTGGAAGCGTGCGGACTGGCCGTGGCGGACCCTGTAGTGGCGGCAATGAGGCGTAATAGTGTATGTGTATACCGCCATGATTGGTAACAGGGTGGACATGCACGGGTTCGGGAGCCGAGGGAGTGTGTGGTGGGATATCGACCAACGGCTGGTTATTGAGGGTCAGGCTTGAAGCTATGTAATCCTGATTTTCAAAGAGACCTGTGAGCGATCAACGGGTCCAACGGGAGAGAGAACTTTACCCTCCTCATTCTCCTCCTTCCTCTCCAACATTTCCACCCAAATACACTAATGGCTGTTATCAGGACCCCAACTACCGTAGCCACGACTCCGCTCAGACTGATAATGTCACTCTGGTTTCTCTTTTGGATGTTTGTGCAAGGCGGTGGGCCGGGGGTGCCTTGTGCAAGGGCGACAAGGAGAATGATTGTAAGCCTATACACTGCGCGATCCCATCTTTGTATTAGATACTAAATTGAATCGATCTGACCTAGCGGAAGACTTACCCATTAAGTGAAAGTTGAGCTGTAGGAGTTCGAAAAATCGACGACGAAATGATGGAGTGACGGCGAAGCGTGATTTGCGGCGGTGATCGGGGTTCGTATTCTTCGGATACTAAGCCAAAGGCGAACTGTAGCGATCTCAGTCTATGGTTTTGTTGAATGTTAAGTAGAGTGGAAGAGATTTAGGTCGAACGCTTCGGGGCAGGAAGCGGTGTGAGGGGAAACTGCTGCCCTAAATACATTGTTGGGTATGGGGGGAGAAATGTCGCGAGATAATTGAGATGTACTACTAGTACATACTCACGGTACTACATTTAGGGACTACTTACGCACGGACTTAGAAACAGCATATCATCCCTGCACATGTCAACCAATGCGGTTAGCGCACAACAAATACACGAAGACACGTTTGGAGACTGACTAGGGTAATGACCAAATTGTTCTGCCACCTTCTGGATGTGCATGCAGTGTGTCGTCAGTGTGATCGACTCGTGTAACTTGTTTCTTTTCCGGCGAATCAAAAATCGCAGAAAATAAGGCGACAGACACGAAGACTCCTACTGTAAGAACTCAAACTATTGGTGGGAGCGCAAAAGTGCTAAATCGTGTCGAATACTATTGGCCGCGTGTGCTCATTTCACCACCACAGGCAAGGTGATTGATGTGCGTCGTGGTCCCGCCCAATTCCCCCCCTTTTACCATCACTCGCAATACAAGATCCTAAAATGTTAAATGTAATAACCCCTAAGGGTTAGGGTTAGGATCGACTACTGCTGATGACACCACGCCTCAGTCCATACAGTGTCAAAGCCATTGCTACTTCACAACAAGAATTCATAGAATTGACGAAAGGAAGTGGAGGCCCAGATAAAAGGAATGCAGAGTGTGCCTAGCAATCTAATAAGCGCTAGGAACCCACACACTGTCCGCAGAGATTCCGAAATCCTGCCGCACGGTTTAAAGATTTGACAGAAAGAATTTACACGAGTAAATGGCGTCAGAGTCATATGTCCCAATTTTCATAAGATAGAAGTGCAAATTAGGCAAACAAAAAGGTGTATTAAATCACAGCACAGAAACACCACCGATATTTCAACCAAGGGAAGTTAACAATAAAGGAATAGTACCGTGTAGCTATTCAAAAGGAAGTATAACGATACGCCATTCTGCCCAGACCTATCACGCTTTTATAACCCTCTTACCCACCAAAACTAAAGTTGGTTGAAGTTAAGGGCGGGGAGTCATATCTGGGTTAATTGCTTCGTTCCGTTGCCCGATTAACTCCAGAGGGTGCGACACAGAAATCGATATAGAGCGGGCAGAGCATGGTGCACAAAGGATCGGCAACACTGGGCATAGAAGTTCTGTATCCCGGTGGCTATCCGCCGTCTCCTCATCTCCCATTTCCACGGCGGCAGAAATACATTGGAGTATGGGTGAGGCGGCGTGTGCATGATAATGATAGTGTATATCGCCGCTTCTGGTTGGTAGGTAGAGATATGCTGGTTCGAGGGGTCTGGGTTCGTGCGGCGAGGGAAGAATATTGATCAGTGGGACGCCAGCGGCTAGTCTTTGAGCAGCACCATTCCGGTTCTCGGAGACCGGTGAGAAATTAATAGGATAAACAAGGTATGGCAATATACCTTCTTGACTCTCCGCCGTCCTCTCTGACATCTAGCTAACCCAATCGCGGTCACCAGTACCCCAACGATCGTAGCCACCAGTCCTCCCACAGCAATACCGTCATTCTGACCTCTTTTCTGAAGACCTAGGTAATTTACTGGGGTCGGTGAACCATATACGAAACAAGGAAGCAGCAAGATGGCGAGGATATGACCTGACCGCTGGCATTAGCTGCAGACTGCCACTAATATTTCCGTGGAAATGACTTACCCATCAGCCGCAGGTGAAGAGAACTCATTGAGTGCTCTATTAGAATGATGGAAGACATCAGGGCTGGCAGTGGTGAAGTTCGCGATTGTAATATTTGTATCAGAAAAATGTGGATATGAAACACGGTTAATGACCAGAGGAGGGCGGGGGGACCGCAAATTTATGGTGGTAGAACGTAGGGCATAGGGTGGGGTTTTCTCATCGTGGGCATCCGATTATCTCAACCTGAGCACTCATTGTAGTAGATAGCGGGATTTACTTCCAATCATCAGGCATCCTATCCCCAGAGAAGTCACTGGATTCCCTGTCTAATGCATAGGGACTGTGCAGGCATCTCAAAGTCCGGCTTTTTGGTTCACATTCAGCTCTGAGCTTGTATCTTTTGTTCGGAAAAAGTCACTAGATCTCATCACCTCTGGCTGGGCATTGAGTAATTGCATTTTTAATCTAGATCTCAGACCAACTCATACCTGAAATGCCGAATCGGGTGTAGAGGGATTCCAAATCAGCAGGGAGGTGGGCAGAGCTCTGAACACTCACTTCCAGATTCGATGACGGTTACACAGATTGCTGTTCGTGTGAGGCTTACCGCGTTGCAACATCAATCTTACGCTCGGATACTCCCGATTTGAACTTCCGTGTAGGAGTATCAAAAAATGCCGTTGATGAAACATACCTTAAAACGTGGGCGATCGAAACTCGTCGATTTATATTTCACGGGTTGCCTTTTGGGGGTAGCCGATGCATGCAGCAATATATGGCAATGCAGTTGAACTGGCATTGAAAGGGCACTAGGATCTCACGTTTGTGAATTGTTGATGTTAACACAGGTCCAAAAGTGCTGGAAATGATTGAGAACTATTCCTAGTAAACAAAACGGTGAAGGACAACTAATATTTATTGACCCCGGCATCCGATAGTCGCGCCAATGACGACGAAACTCTGCCAAATTTTATTTTGTTGATCTCCCCAACGCATAGCTACGATTTTTTGGGGCACCTTGCGTATATATATTATGGTGGAATAGGGTTGTATAGTCACATTACGTAGGCAATCTTTGTTTCTGTGATTGAAAGAAATTAGGGAGATTCACACACTTTGAAAAAAATAGAATAATAAAAACAACATATAAGAAAGGGAAGATAAGATAACCATATACACAACCGGCACTCTACATTCGTTAAAAAAAGTCGTAATGTCATGCACGTTAACCTCGCTTCAATATCCCTGCAACTAAGCACCCGCCTACGTTCTATACCGGTACTATAGTCTTCCCGCGGCAATTTAAATAGACGGGCCAATGGGCCACGTTGAAGTCCGCGTTGGCGCTAAATACTGATCTCGATTGATTGTCTCGATTGCTGTTTGGGGTAACTCAGGTTGGGGTGAGCATAATGACGTACCTGGCATTGGATCGGCAAGCCGCGATGGGTGGAGTAGCACCCGCTGTGGATAGATGAGCCATGGGTTCTCGCCAATGTCATGTGACCCCATGACTGGGCCTGGTCCAGTGGTAGCGGTGCGGATTGAAGAAGGCTGAGGTGGAGGCGAGGCGGCA